TGAACTGTACATGAATAAATACTGACTTTATAATCATTCAAAGTGTGTACACATTTTTGGGGGCACCCCGTATGAAAGATAGTCTGGGAAATCCCATTCATGTTGCAAAGACAGTAGGACTGAAAAATTTTCAATAACGTTACTTTTAGAAAGAAAATAAGAATTTTTAAAATTACTGAAACATAGTACTTATGAAATAAAGTGTGCCAGCTTTGTGCACAACTGTATGTATCTCATTGCTTAGAACTATGGCATGAGGTAGATTCTGAAGAGGCTGTTGAATAAATTGATTGTTTCTCAGCCAAAAGATTACAAATAAGCTCAGATGATTGGCAGGAAGTCACCTTTGAAAATCTTTACATTATAAAGGAATCTGGAATGTCACAGTGGAACTACCAGGGCCAGAGAATTTCTTTCCAGCCTTTGGGTGCTTGCTTAACATCATTAGGTGGTTAGACTAACCTGTTTTGAGGCCCCACTACTGCGGGGCCTGGGATGCCAGAGGCTAAGGTTGCCTGCTTTAGTGGGAGGAGGTACGGGTATTTGCCGCAACTGAGGGAAGCACAGGGACGCGGAATCCAGATGGAGGGAGCTGGCCATAAACTTCTGAAGAAATAACACATTTTTGTTTATTGAAGTCTTTTCCACATCTACCCATCATTCAACAATCACTCTGTAAGCACTTACAGTGTGCCAGGCAGATCTGGGGCTGGAAAGAAAATATTGTGTAAGACGGTGCCATTTCTGGGAGCCTTAAGGTCTGGTTTGAGGACACATTGTAAATCACAAGTGCAGTGAAGGGTGAGAGATATGCTGGAGGCAAGCCTGGCATAGGCAAGGGATTATATAAGGGGAAGGTTTAGAGGTAGGAAAGGACCAAGTTTTCCCTCCTCCCTTCCCCTCCCCCTCTGCAATGGGAAACGCCCTGTCGGGTCCACCGGGCAGCCTGGTTTCCCCACCAGAAACCCCACAGGCCCAGGGAACAGGGCAGAGGACTCAAGCTCGGATCTCTGGAAGTTCAGTTTGCCGAAAAATAAATTGTCACATCATCAATTTACCAAGTTTACCATTTTACCAAAAGAAAAATTTTCTTTTGATTATTTATAGCCTTTTGTCTTCAATGGCACAATTTTAGTAGTTTGGGAGTATTTCTATAGTTTTCATTAACAAGGTTTCATTTTTGTCTTCATAGTAGCATTTAAAGAAATCATTAAGTGTTTTTCAGTGCATTAAAATTCAGAAATCATTTCATAACTAAAATGTCAGTGCTTACTTTCCACAAGATTTTTTTCAGTTTATACTGATTTCTTTAATGCTTTTTTTTTGTTTTGCCAATATTTTAGCATATTTGTGATTGTTCTGTCAATTTCTCAAGTACTTTATGAATCCTACTTTTCTAACAATTAAATAATTCAAATTTACAGTGTGATATAGTCGTTTCTGTAACTTCCAGTTTATTACTCACTTTATCAGTCTCTTTAGCATTTAAGGATTTTTTAAAAACCATTAAAACAAAATTTTTTCACAATTTTGTGTTTACATTTAGTGAATATCAAACTTGAGGCCTTAGTCCTGGAAATCACTCTAATACACTCTTATGGGCATCCTCATATCCTTTTCCTAATGACTTGGTTTATTTTATTTTAATTGGCCCTTATTAGAGATTTAAAATATTATTATTTCTTATAGTTTGAACTAGAATTAATTTTTTCAGGTGCTTTTGAATTTAAATTTAAGTAACTCTGAATTAAATAACTGAAAATCCCTAGTTAAAACTTCATCCCTTTTTCTTAAGCCTTTACCACTATATTATATTTTGATTTAATGTAATATAAATTTTTAATTATTAGAAGTTCAAATTTAAGGCTGATATACCATTCAAGGAATTGGGAAAGAATGGCAAACATTGAAAAATAGAAAAATGGCATTCAAATTATTAAAAGAGACAATAGTAAAATTTAAAAGTTAGATAAGTTGGTAATTGGAAAATCAAAATACAGTGAAGTGATCTCAAACCAATTTCTATTTTACATCTCCAGCCATGCCTGGTTACATTTCCCTATATTATCAGCCAGAATGTGCACCAGATAACAGTGCTGAATGATTCAGATACAATATGGTCAGCATTACAAAACACACCCAATTTGCAAAATTTAGCTCTGTAGACTTCCCCTCTTTTCCTGAAATAGCTCGTGTTACCTTCCTAGCAATCTCAATAAGCAGGTAGATGTTGTCTAGCCCCAGAAGACTCATGAGACTAAAGGACATCTCCAAGGCCTCACTGATAGTAACAGGCTATGGGCTCAAATTTGTGACTAGCTCTGGCTTTGCACCTGTAATTTGGAGCTGGGCACATGTGCAGGTGGAATAGGAAATTTTAGTGGCACCCTGACCAGAAGAAATACAATCCCACCTGCCGGTTCTAGTCTGAAATGTCCTCCTTCGAATTTGATCTCCTCTTAAAATACAAATGCCCTGGAGAGAAGCCTCCCAGGGCACCCATGCTCACCCAAGTTCCAGTACCAATACATTACTTCAGGCCTCAAGTGAATTGTTGCACCTGATCCTCCCAGGCTGCTAGGAAAGTCCAGGATTCTCAGTAATGGTGGCCATGCTCTCAGCCAGGCTTTAGCCAGCTCCTCTTCTGGGAGCTGACCACTCAAGTGGGAATGAATTGTGTGGGGATTCTTTAAAGTTTAAGGATGTGGGAGGAGAGGTTATGTCTGAATCCTGCCCAGCAGGACCTCTCCAGAGAGGAGCTGCTGGAGAATTTCAAGACCTGGGACTCGCTGGTGTTTCTAATTTTCAAAGAGGCTGTGATTTCTGGATTGTAAGAACCCTGGGGCCTGCTTTCCCAAAGGGCTAAGAGAGAGTTCCTGATACTGACCGATGGAACCTTGGCGTAATTAGCATTTTCTGTCTGCTGTGTCAGAGGACAACACCCAGACCAAGAAAGATCCATCCAATCTAGAATGTATGTCTATGCAGTGCAGATGTGTGCAAGACCTTCCCACTACTCTCTTCTGCATTCAGGGAATGCTGGGTACCCTATGATCACCCAAGCCATGAATTTGGTCTTCCCTGTGGGAACTGCCCCTCCCTCCCATCTCCAGAGCTGTCCTCTACTCCCAGCCAGCCCGTTTCATCTTCTCAGGATCTGGCTCTCTAATAAAGCTAGCCTGATGAACAAGCCAGGCTCCCCTGGCAGTCACACTCCTGTGTTTTTAGCAGGAGTCATCCACAAATCACTCAATAGTCAGACCCTGACCAGGTTAGCATGCAAAAGAGGGTCCAGAGGTGGAGTCAGAACTCTTAGCCCCACCATGTATGAGGCCCAACCTAGACAAGTTCTCTCAGAGCCTCAGTTGCCCCATCTGTTAAATGGGAACCAGGTGAGACCACAGTTTAGCTCTATGTATGGCACAGCGAAGGGCACTTCATAAACAGCAATGACCAAATAACATATTTACAACCGTAGGGTCCACAACACCAAAAAAGTACGAGGCAGTACTAGCATTGTTCTCAAGTAGAAACCTTAGTCACTGAGGCAGAGCAAGTGGGAGATATATTTTAGTGGATGTGACTTTCCTAGAGCTCATTAGACCAATCATTCTATGGGACAGGGCGTGGTCCCCATCTGTGAGTAAAACTATCCTATTTCAACCTCTCTTATATCTTTGGGTCTATATCTAAAGAATCCCAAAGGTTAAAACTATGTGTGTGCCTTTCCTGAAAGAAAGGCCACTATGTTGTCTGTGTCTAAATTTTTGAGAATCAATTTGCTTGGGCCCACACCCACTTGTCAACCTATGGTCTTGCTAGCAGAATATAGAATTCCTTTAAAAAAATATTTTATTGATTTCAGAAAAGAAAGAAGTGTGAGAGAGATAGAAACATCAATGATGAGAAAGGATCATTGATAAGGCTGCCTCCCGTATGCTCCCTTCTGGGAATCGAGCCCACAACTCAGGCATGTGCCCTAACCAAGAATCAGAACTTGATCTCCTGGGTAATAGGTCGAAGTTCAACCACTGAGCCACACCGGCAGGGCTAGAATTCCTTTTTGAAAGTTCCTCTCATTTCACAATACTGTTCTCAGGAAATGTGAAAACACTAGTTGTACAAGAGAAGGAGAAATAGCCATCAGGGTGGAGATGGGAAAGAGCAGAGGGACTCAAGTCAGTGCCAAGCACAGAGACTGAAAGGGGGAGGAGGAGGCAGTGAGGAATGAGCAAACCAATAAGCTGGAAGCCGGCCAAGGCGGGGCCTCTCAGGGATTCTGTCAATCTGCACATCATGCCATTTTGTTTGCATTTCTGTTCCTTCTTAAGGCAATGATGCATATTTCATTTCATCTTTTACTTTCCCTATGGTTGAATTAGAAGAAGAGGAGAAATCTAGGCATGAAGGAAGAATTATTTTTTTCCCTCAGTGCTACATCTGCTAGAAGTTGAATATAAGTGAATTAATTGCAAAAATATCTGAAGGGAAGGCACATGTTTGTTCTTCAGTTTACTGGAGAGGGATGGCCAGGGCCTCATTCCAGCATTCTATCCTTGGTTGAAAAACAAGTACTCACCAGCAATGGGTGCCAACACTTAAACAAAAAAGAGGGAGTTTAATCTAAAATGATTATTTTTCTACTCCCAAATACCATTTCTCACTCAATGTAGAAGTATACTTATAACTCCTTAAGTTAAACACACACACACACACACACATTAAATATTTACCCTACTGCAGTTAAATTGTTAAGTATTAGAACAAACATATAGATAAGTGATTTAAACCTTTTTGGTGAAGAGGAAATCTATCGAGCAAATATATTTTGTTAAACTATTTGGTTTAGACTACAGAGAAATTGTCTTAAAACACAGAGGAGTTTCCTGCTTTCAGAAAATTTTCAGGGACACAATAAAAGTGTATTGGGCCAACAATTATTAGTATATGTATTAGTACTGATTGGTATATGGACTAAGTCTTTCTTCCTTCTTTTACAGTCAAGAACTTTTCCAACAGTGACATCCTCAGGCTAAAATCCTTTGACTGCTCTCCAGAGCTTCCAACCCACTTGGATTTTGTTTAAGAAGCATCTCAAACTTAACTTGTCCAAAACAAAACATTTGCTTAACACTCTCCCCAAACTTGTTTCTCTCCCGGTCGTCCCCCAACTCAGGAAATAGCAGCAACCCAGTTTTCAAGCAAAGGCCTAAAGAGTCATCCTTGATTCCTCCTTTTTTCTCTTCACCCTTGTAATTACTTCTCCATGGAGTCCATCAGGTGAACCTCTAAATATAATCAAAGTGGTCCTGGGGGCGTGGGGGTCAGGAGGAGTAGAATGTGGAACAGCATAGATTCAAACCCGGGAGCTGTTACTTGGGCTGGAGGCCACTGTCTGCCTGCCTGGACCCCAGGCCCACCAGCCTTTACAACCCAAGGCCAACCCTTCCTTCTCCACCTCCCTTGCCCTCAAATCTACAGCTTTTTCTTCATAGAGATAGTTGTTGAGCAAAAGAGTCCAGACACAAAAAATACACCCTGTATGTCTCCATTCATGGAAAGTTGAAAACAGGCCAAGCTGCTATCATCAGTGACTGGATGGAGTTTCCGGGGACTTCCAGGCAGCTGATCATTTTGCTTCTTGATCCAAATGCTGTGAAACAAATGTTCACTTCATGAAAATTCATCAGGCTGTACATTTAGGATTCATGCTAATTTCTGAATGCATATTGCACTTTAACAAAAAGTTTACTTAAACAAAAGTGTTACCTAGATGTTTGGGAAAGACTAACCAGCTATTTCCAGACTGAGGGTGTTTATAAACCATTAGAAACATCTGTATGTTGAAAATGTGTGAGTTGATCCATGGTGCCCAGAGATTCAAAATGCATCCTTTTTCAAAAACAAATGACTTTCCTCCAATAGGACAAAAATCACTCACAATTTTAATTCAACTGAAAGAAAAATAGCCATGAGTCACTGCTAAATTGTGAAGAGTTGTAAGAACGTTTAAGATGTGAGGAATATTACAGAAATTGGATAGAAACTCTCCAGCGTAGATGTCATGATGCATGTAACAGAGCCAGGATTCAGCCACACCTGTTGAAATTATCCGGAAACTGCCACTGAATCAGATTTTTCTTCTTGCATCTCACCACATGGCCTCTTCTTTTTCTGACTGTCCAAATGGGAAGGATGGAACCCAGAGGTACCCTAACCAGCCGTTTGCTGCCCTCCTTGTACGCAGCTTTAAAATAGCCCCCAGGTGGTCTGCCAAAGGTGGTGCCCTGGTCCGAGTCTGTTAGTCCGTTGGCTGCCAATAACCAAACAAACCTAGGTTTTCTGGCCCGATTGCCAGCAGGTACACTAAGCAGTTGCCTGTGTGGTGCAATTTTCATATGACCCAGCAATCCCTCTTCTGGGTATCTACCTGAAAAAATTGAAAACAGTTATGCCTAAAGATATGTGCACCCCATGTTCATTGCAGCATTATTTACAACAACCAAAACATGGAAACAACCTAAGTGTCCTTCAACAGATGTTTGGACAAAGAAGATGTGGCATATGTATACAACCGAATACTACTCAGTCATAAAAAATGATGAAATATTGTCAACGTGAATGGATCTTGAGAGTATCGTGCTAAATGAAGGAAATCAGACAGAAAAGGATAAGAACCGTGTGAATTCACTCATATGTGGTATAAAAACAAAAAGTAACAAACAAAACAATCAACCTCAGAGATACAGACAACAGAATGGTAGTTACTGGAGGGGAAGAGGCATAGTGGGGAGATGAAGAGGGTAAAGGGGATTGAATGTATGGTGAAGAGGGAGACTACACTGTGGGCGGTGAGCACACATGGAAATACAGATGTCGTATTGTGAAATTGCACACCTGAGTTTATATAATGCTACTAACCAATGTCACCCAAATTAGTAGATGATAGATAGATAGATTGATAGATAGATAGATAGATAGATAGATAGATAGATAGATAGATAGATAGATAGATAGATAGTTTTTTTAAAAAAAAGGACAGGACAATGCCCAAGGACAACCAGCCTCGAGTCCTGAATTGCACCATCAGTGCTTGTTGGCTGTGAGGCCCAACCTAGGCTCTTCCCTCTGCAGCACCCCTTGACCCTCCCCCCCCATACTCCTGGCTCAGATGGGACCTGCCACCAGTTCCTAGAACCCTCTGTGACCTGAGGCAGCACTGAGTTAACCAACTTATAACCTAAACTATTCTTAGAGCATCAGCAAAGGAGTAAAAAAAAAAATGGGGAGAGAGTTAGACGTTTGATTCATTCACTCAACAAATATTCATGGAGCACTACTTTGTCAGGCACTGGGAATATAGTAGTGTACTTATACCATTATATTTGAAAGATGTGAGACAGGCAATAAATAAAATTAATAGACACATTATATAGGATATTAGGAAGTAATGAAGTCTAATGAGAGAGAGGATGGGGGGAATGGGGTAGGTGGAAACTAGACACTCTAATAAGTGGTCAGAAAAAGTTTTTTTAAAAAAACAAAACACAGATATAGTAACCATGGGAAAATTTTGTCAGACCTGTGCATGCTTATTCTAAGGTTTAGTATTGTTGTATTTTGAATTGCCTGAAGGGGTGGGAGAAGTGAGCATTTGCAAATCCTAATCTGTCTGGGACTCAGTCAGGGCTCAGCGTGGTCGCCATCGTCCAACTTAGCCCTTGGGTCCCAGTTCTGATCACTGATGCCCACCATCAGCTATGCCCAGACCACACCCCTACACCATGGGCCCCCACGACTGATGAGATTCTTCAAATGCCCTGGTTCTGAATACCTGTTCCAACAATCTATCTGCGTCCAGTCCTCTCCTGATGCACCAGTTCTTACACCTGTGTTTCTGCCTTGGTGCCTCTTCTTCAGTTCCTAGTCTGGTTCCCTATTGAAAGAAACCCTGGGGCCAGGGCTGTGCTTTCTCCTTGACAGTACTCATCCCCAAAGTCTAAACACCTTCTTGAGTCCAGTCCATAGTGAAGCACCTTGGAATACACAGCCCGACTGGAGCTTGCTTGTCTGCCACTTCAGGGACATCCACTGATCACTGTCCATGTTAGGACAAGCCAGCTGTCCCCATGGTCCTCCAGATATGGGACCTGAACTTGCCATACCCTTGGAAATAACCTTTCTCCTTGAAACACTCCGCAACTGGCCTAGACCCCTGACCTCCTTCTCCCACCAGTGAGAAAGTCTAATTGCAGCACCCAGACCCTCCTCTCAGGCATTGCCTACAATAACTGGTCCTTTCAAATGCATGTCTACACTATCGTTCATTTTCTTCAGAGTTCTTTCAACAGCTTGTTAAAAACAGCTTTATTAGGGAATAATTTACTTTTAATGATTTTTTTTAGTAAATTTAGAATTGTGCACTGATTACCACATTCCAGTGCTAGAACATTTCCGTCACCCCCCTCAAAGACCCCTCTGTCCATTTGAGGTCTAAATTACCACATTCCAGTGCTAGAACATTTCCGTCATCCCCCCCCCAAAGACCCCCTCAGTCCATTTGAGGTCTATCCCTATTCCCACCCCCCAGTTCCAGGCAACCCCTATCCTACTTTCTCTCTCTATGGTTTTGCCTTTACTGGACATTTCCTGAACCTATAATATGTGACTGTCTGCACCTGGCCTCACTCACCGAGCATAGTGTTTTTGAGATGTGTCTATGTTGTAGATGTGTCAGGGGTTCATTTTTTTTATTGCATGGATACACCACGCAGTACTCATTCATTCATTCCTTATTCATTGATGGATATTTGCATGGTTCCTAGTTCAGAATAATGTAGCTCAATATGTATCCACAGATAAGTCTTTGCATGCACATATGTTTTCATTTCTATTCAAATTTTTGGGTTTTTCCTCTTTCAAATTCACTTCTAAGCGGGAAGAGATTTAGTCAATAATGCTTTGGCTTAAATTCCTCCAGCTTAAAAACTAAGGAGATTTAGGCAAAGAGAAATATGGGAGATGAATGGGTGGAAGAGGGGGATAGCAGTGACTTCATCTCCATAGGATGAAAAGAGAGAAGGCAGAGGCAACCATGGTCCAACTCACATGTTTTGCTCGGTAGTTTGCAGGTGAGAAAACATAAAGTGGCCTCTGAGAGAATATAGCTCCAATGCAATTGTCATATTTGATGAAAAAGTTAATCAATTGTTGAGATGTCTTAAATATGTGAATAATTCGCATGTGCTGATGGCAGATCTGGGTGTCACCCTTGACTTTCACTCTCTCATTCAGTCCACATCCAATCACCAAGTGTATCTCCTCAGTTCCCAAACTAGTTCAATGTTTCTCAAATTTCCTCCATTCCACACCATCACTCTAGTCCAGGCCATCATCTCCCTGCCGGCCACTGATCTCCTTGTTTGCTCACTGACTCTTGTCCACACCATTCTCCAAACACTTCCTGAATAGTCTGTCACTCCCCTGATAAAACTGATCACAATCCAGAGCTTGTGTCTTGGTTTTATCTCACTAGCAGCTCTCCCTCTCTACTCCCCACTACTAATTCCACTCTCTCTGCTTCAGCCTTTATAAAACCCTTTGTCTCCCAAATATCCTGTTTTTTTCTTCAGGCTTTTGACTTTCCTCCTTGACCCGCCAAATTCCTGCTCTTCCTCAGGTGTCACCTTAGATATCTCTTCTTTCTGGAGGCCTCCTCTGGCCCACAGGTGGGGCAGGCACCCTTCTTGGGTGCTCACATGGCGCCATCTTACCTCAGTCGTGACATTTACCACATGATGTACTTGCCTGCTTATGTGTCTGTCTTCCCCTCTAGACCAGAAGTTTCCCGATGACCAAAGCAATGACCTCTTCACCAGGTTCCCCAGCGTCCAGTATGGAGTCTGTTACAGTATACAATGACTGAATAAATGCCACCAAGTGTCACACAAAAAAAGACATATTGCCCTATCTAGCCGGTCTGGCTCAGTGGAGAAAGCATCGGCCTGCAGACTAAAGGGTCCTGGGTTTGATTCTTGTCAAAGGCACATGCCCAGGTCGCAGGTTTGATCCCCAGTGAGGGGCGTGTAGGAGGCAGCCAATCTATGATTCTCTCTCATCATTGATGTTTCTATCTCTTCCTCATGCTCCATTCCCAGCGGGTGGTGTGTAGGAGGCAGCCGCTCAATGATTGTCTCTCATCATTGATGTTTCAATCTTTCTCTGTCTTTCTTCCTTCCTCTCTGAAATCAATAAAAGTATATATTTGTTTAAAAAAGACATATTATGTCCATAAGAGCAAGACTTGGGGGAGAAATCAAAAAATAAGACTCCCGTTTTTTTTATGTCTTTATTAATTAGGAAATGATATTCACAGACACCCACACACAGCCAGGAAGAATGGCACAACTTCAGCCTGGCGGCTGTTTGGACCAGCTGTGGGATTATGTGGGCTTTAGTGCTGGTTCCACCATATTAGAGCTGAGAGACCTTGTGCAATTCATTCAGCCTTTCTCCGTC